TCAGCCAACTTGTGCCCCTCTGCCTAGGCCACACGTCGGCACACCTCCTCCGGCTTCTCGGCTTGCATGCGTTGGTATTACACTTCTGCCTCATCCATCGATGGGAGGCGGATGATGTTGCCCCCGGACGCCGCATCCACTACGTTGAAGCCGGCAATGGCGAATTTGGCAGCCGGGTCTACCGCCATCCCCTCCTCTCCTCTTCTTCCTCCTCTGAGCCCGGGTCCAAAGAGCTCGGAGGCTCGCCAACAATGATGGCATGCCAAGGGACACTCGTGGTAGGTGCGCTCCTTGGCGGCGAGCGCCGCGCGCCGTGCAAGTGTCAACATCATGTATCATGTAGGTGGTGACCTTGTTGTGCACAATGGCATCGGCAGAGCTCGCAGAAGATGTCCCGGATTGCGACGGGGAAGACGGCGGCGTGACTCGACTCCGCGTCGTCCTTCGGGACCGCGGTAGGCACACCGGTGTTTTGCCGCATGGTCTCGACTCCGTACGTCCTTCATCACCGTCGTCCATGGCTCGCCTCGTCGGGTCCCCCGGTGGCTGTCACTTGGCTGCTGTCCATTGGATACTCGCAAAATGGCGAAGAGGCATCCACGTCCACGTACATCTAGAGAAATGTGGACAAACTTTCTAAAAAAGAGAGAAATATGGACAAACTTTCTAAAGGAAGAGAGAAATGTGGACAAACTTTCTAAAAAAGAGAGAGAAATGTGGACAAACGCAAACGTGACGAGCCACACCAGCAGCTGCGTGGTGTAGGCCGGGCAAACCGTTAGCGCTTTTCTTTCTAACTAACTACTAGGGACGTGCAGACTTAACAAGCTAGCTAGGTGGCAACCGACCGAGACGCACGCCGGGCGTGCGGGCCTTTCCGTGCGGCGACGCGCAAGAAACCGGTCGGCGACACGCCGTCCCTCACCTACCTTCACGAGCCCCATCAGCCTAGCCTAGCCGCGCGCGTCCCCGCGTCCCAGATTATAACCAGGAGCGCCGGATCCAGCGCCGTGTTCCGCCGCCAGGCCCCCTTCGCGCTCCTCCGCCGCCGTCGCCATCCCTTTCTTCCATCTGATCCGATCCCGGCCTGCTCCTTCCTCCCCCAGGGTTCAGGGTTTTAGGGACGTCGGCATGGTGCAGCCCCGGGGCCGGCCGCGGATGAAGCGGCGTGCAAGCCACACGGAGACTGTTGCCCCTCGTGCGTCGCCGGCGGGCGCCCTGGAGGGGGAGGGGTTAGGCGACGGGAATGACGACACTCAGAAGCGCGTTAGGACGGCGCAGCCATCTCAGCTTCCGCTTCCACTGCAGGTAGATGGGTTTTAGTAGTTTACTATGGTGGCCCGAAGATTTTGTTGTTGGCGTAAAATTTAAATTATACCCATTTCTCTTCTTTTGAGGGATTCGGGGCGGCGTAGCCACACTGCTTGTGCTTCCACTGCATGTAGATGGGGTTTGGGGTTTTAGTATTTTTAATATTAATATGGTGGCGTGAAGATTTTATTGTTGGCGTAGAATTTAAATTATACCCATTATTTTTTTTGAGGAATTCAGGACGGCGCAGCCACCCCGCTTCTGCCACCACTGTAGGTGGATGGGGTTGGGGGTTTTAGTATTTTATATGGTGGCACAAAGATTTTGTCGTTGGCGTAGAATCAAATTATACCCATTATTTTTTCCTTTTGAGAAATTCAGGACGGCGCAACCACCCCGCTTCTACTTCAACTGTAGGTCTATGGGGTTGGGGGTTTTAGTATTTTATATGGTGGCGCGAAGATTTTGTTGTTGGCGTAGAATTTAAATTATACGCGTTATTTTTTTCTTTTGAGGAATTTAGGACGACGAAGCCACCGCCTCTTCTTCTGCCTCTGCTGCAGGTAGATGTGGTTCAGGGTTTTAGTACATTAATATAACGACAGAAAGATTTTGTCGTTGGCGTAGAATTCAAATTATACCCATTGCCTTTTATTTGAGGAATTCAAATAGGGAGTGCAACTCATCCGAAGGAAAAAACCATTAAGTATTGAAATTAATGTTATGCCTTTTACATGATGTTGTTTGTCGATTTCAGATTTGACTGCGTAGGATCATAATTAGATATCTTAACTATGGAGTAAAAATCTTAAAATCACTTGCATGCTCCTTTTGCTCCAATCCAATTGAACAAACTCTCTCGGTGATTGATTTACTGCATAGAAGAGAAATGTGTTTAATTATTCAATGCAAACTTTGCAAAATATGATATGACGGGTTTTGATTAATAATATCTCTATCGCCCCAACTAATTATACAGTGTTTGATTAATAATATTATCTGTTTATTTATATAGAAATCTATATCTTTTTATTGATCCTAATTCTGAGTAGAGACATGATGTTTTGCAGGACATGTATGTCAATATAATGAATGAACCGCTCCCACTGGGTCTACGGTTGAAAAAGAGCCCATCTTTTGTAGATCTTATTTGTACGTGTCTTTCAAAGGAATACTCTACCAAGGAAAACTCTGCCAAGGAAAACTCTACCGTGGGCCGTTCTGCTGTGAAAGATATTGTTTCCAAGCCCCCGTTAAAGAAAGATGTAGTAAAAGCTTCAAATTTTCCTGCAAACTTTCTTAAAATTGGTAATTGGGAGGTAAGCAATTTCCTCGTGTTATACTCAGTATATATGTTATTATGAGTAAGAAGTATTTAGAAGCTTTCCACAAGTACTGCCTAACCAAAACATATTTTTTTTCCTTTTATACAGTACACCTCGCAGTACGAAGGTGATTTGGTTGCAAAATGCTACTATGCAAAGCATAAGCTTGTCTGGGAAGTTTTGAACGATGGTCTTAAGAGTAAGATAGAGCTCCAGTGGTTAGATATTACTGCTATAAAGGCAACTTGCCCTGAGGAGGGAGATGGCACCTTGGAACTGATGGTTAGTTCTTGTGATTTTTTGTTATTGTTTGTTTGTGTACCTATCAATCATTATTGTCTCAAACGAGTTTCCAATCTTTTTGAAGTTGTCTCGGCCACCCATTTTCTTTCAAGAGACCGATCCTCAACCAAGAAAACATACATTATGGCTGGCGGCACCAGATTTCACTTGTGAACAAGCAATCATGTGCAGGTGAAGCTCTAGTGCATTATTTAATGTTCTACATTAACACTTAAAGATCGGTCTTGAAATATGAAAGTTGCAATTAGTTGTCGCTGTGATTTATGGTGTAGATGTATTGTGCACTTTGTATTGCTTTTTTTTGGTAGACCTTGCTGCTAGTTGTCTCTGTTTTATTCAACTTTATCATTTACTTTGTTGAGCTGAAATTAACTTTTATAAATGCTCTAAATGCAGGAGGCATGTTTTGCGTTGCTCCTCGAGTGTGTTGAGCAGAAATTTTGAAAAGCTTATTCAGTGTGATGAGCGACTAAATGAGCTGAGCCAACAACCAACTATCATGTCAGATTCTCCATTTATTGGAACCATAAGCTCCATATTTGGAAATCAAAATGAAAGTGACGGCCCTTCATCCATGTTCACACATTATGTGTCACCATATGATGCTTCTTCTTCAGTGGTCCAAAGGAATGGCGTGAAGCATCATCAGCCATTGAACTTAGGTAAGCATCCCCTTCTTCTTCAGACAAAGTTCCGAAGCTGGCAGGCTTCCATGCCACACTTATAATCTTGTAGATTATTTTCCTTTAACAGGTGCCGCAGCTTCAGATATCCAAGCAAAAATTGTTGCTCAAGAACAAAGGAACCTCAATTTGTGTAATCGTGCCAGCCCCAAGGTGCCGAAAGAATTTCAGGAGATTGCTGAGAGCCTTTTAAGCGATACACAAGCCCCGCCGTCCGCGGATGAGAGATATCTGTTGGCAAGAGTGGACTCGCTTAGCAATTTGCTTGAGAAAGGCACTGCGCCATCCACCGTATCTGTTCCTGAGCGCAATGACACCATTGCTGCAGGCGAAGTAGGTCATGATGCCTTTGCCGAGGAACTCGGATTTTGTTTCGAAGACGAAGAACAATGGGCGCCTGCGGGGAGAACTGTGGATGGCGGCGCAGGACCGCCTGCCATCTCTAGAAAGGAGTCCATGGCGGCGGGTCTGTTTGAGAACCTCCCCCGCATACCATCTATGTCAGAGTTGTTCGACATAGCAGAGGATTGAGAGAACTCCGGATTTGGAAATGTTTCAATCATGAGGAACTGTGTGGCTGTGCCTTCTTAGACTTGTTTTGGTCCCCTGTCTGTAACTTACCTGACTCTCATTTGGCAACAACTGAAATTTGCGCATCCCCATTTCGCTGTTCTTACTACATTTCTCTCAGTACTTTCTCTGTTGGCCTGTGAGGGCATTTCCAACAAGCCGATACTAAGGCTATTGCAAAGAGGAGCGATGTGGAAAATTTCACACAAAGTATCCACAAATTAACAGCTTCGCCGGTAGAGTGTTATACCAACCCTCCAAGATCATTCAACTACTGCATCTCGTTACTTTCTTTTAGCCGCATCTTGTTACTTTGGCCTTGGTAAGTGTGTTTGGATTGTTTCTCCTGCCAGCAAATGTTCTCCTACTAGTTTCATGTTATGGTAAAGGGTGATATGGACCGTTGGAGAAGCCCTGATACTCGTCAATGCATCTCCGGGTCATCTTGGCATTTGTTTATGACACTAGTGCATCACATTTGTAGATCAGATGTCATGGCGACTTCGAAATATGAAGAAAAAAATAGCAGTGGCTGGCAAAATAATCGTAATACCATATACACACACTTGATTTCAAATAAAATGCGTCGCAAATGTCTCCATACATCTGCAACAAACCTAGATACGAACAGGAACAATAAAACATGCACCCTTCGCCTACACGATGCAAACCATGAAACGAAATAATATTTGAATTCTACACAAGAGACCAATAGAAACCTCCGGGATACTCTCAAATTGGCACCCAAAGACGGACGTGCTGCAGACGCCTTTTCTTAAAAAGGGGAACCTGCAGTTGTCGGAAATGCTTAATCGATTGAGTCGGGTGGTGGCGCCTCTTCTCCTTCCTCGTCGAAGGCTTCGTTTTCATCAAGCATGTTCATCAGCATGGTCACCTGCTCTTGAAGCATGGAGTTCTCCTTCTCGATCTCCGACCGCTTCCTGCGCTCGTCCGTGAGCTGCTTCTGCAGAAGCTCCAGCACGCGGGAGTCCTCCTCTAGTTGTTCATTCAGCCCGCCGATTTCACGGTCCTGCCATGCCAATTTGCGAGATATTTTACATGATAATATGTATCAACCTATGATGCAGATTTGGCAACAATAACAAAAATGCCTAATTACCTTAGCTGCACTAGAACAATGCATGGGTCATCATAAGTTAATGGTAAAGTTAGTGTTTCATGCTTGATTTCAGGCCTTGATCATGGATGCAATTACCACAGAAAACAGTATGGCATATATCCAGCATGATATTACGCTAGCATATGCTGGCAAATAATTAGCAAGAACATGAACCTTTCTGTTCATTTCCAGGATCGCTATCCTCCTCATGCTCTCCACGACATCGACATTGACGAGCTTGCGCTTCTTACCAACCAGCCATCCCTTGGGATATGATGTAGGCTCGAAGTCCGGTGGCGGAAGCAGCATGTCAGCGCTGCGCTTGCCATTGATTGGCTCCAGGGGCTCAAAGAGCGCCTTTCGCTTCTCAGATAGGTTAGCCATCGGATCTGCCTGATGAGCATCATCCTCTGTGGTAGTGCTTGCTGCATTTGCGTCATCAATCTTCATGGCTTCTCCTTGAGCCGGAAGAGTGTCCGCTGCTGCCTCTTCGGTGGCAGCGGCCTCGTTATTATGTTCTTGTGCTTGCAAGCTCCGGCCATTGGCTGGAACATACACATTGGTAAGTCAGACTGAGTAAGTCAGTAGTTAGTACATTTACCCTAGCAAAATGCAGTGCATACATATACTGACTGACATACATGACCATTGGCACTCGAATTAGAATATGATCAACCGGAAGTTTTTTTGGTGGATAACTGGTGGAGTAATTGGTCAGAGTGAGTCTTGCTGCCATTTGGAACTTGGATAGACAGCGGCAGCTTAGACATATTGTATAATACAAGCAATTCCCTGCAAGATCTATCAACAGACTATTCTCAGAAGCTCTGGAGAGGATAGAAGTGGAAACAATTTATCCTTTTATCCGTTTATCAGTTATACACTAGGAGCAGTGATTTACTAACACGGTCAATATTGGCAGGTTCAGACCATTCGGCATGAATGGTGAAGCTATATAAATAACAATGAACATTGGCAGGTTCAGAAATAGTTTATCTGGTCAGTATCATCAGACCAGCCTAATTAAAGTAAACATTCTGACAGCAACTCCAAATAAACGTGAGTGGTCACGCCTGTCTCGAGCCTGACATTATGCTGTAAACAATCGGTATTATACGAAGACAATGTGGACCATAGATATCTCAGTCTATCACAGTCACCCTTTTCTTTCGTCCTAAGAAATTGCCGCGTTGTTACTGCTCCTCCTGAAGAGCCTTTCCGCTGCCTCGCCCAAAACAGAATACTAGTGGAATTCAGAGTAAGAGGACTGAAAAGGTCATTGCACAACAGCAAGTTACTGAAGGGGATATGGTTTCAATCATGGGTGTGCATTGACATCAATAACTTGAAAAGGAAACACAACCAAAAATGATTCTTGTTTAATACTAGTGAAGGGACCCGCGCCCTCCACCTATCTGCATTGATATCAACACGACCAAAATGATTCTTGTTTATTTACATGGCCATTAGCACTAGAATATGATCAGCTAGAAGTTTTTTCAGTGGATTACTGGTAGACAGGTAGAGTGATGATAGGTGAGAGTGAGTTTTGCTGCCATTTGGAACATGGATGCGTACTTCAACAAGCTGTATGCCCTCTCCTTGACAAGGAAGCAAAGCAAGAAAGGGTTGTGATAGACAGGGACAGCTTACAGCTTAGAACACATATACTGTATAATACAAGGAATTCCCTGCAAGATCTACTGAAAGAATATTCTCAGAAGCTCTGGAGAGGATAGTGGAAACAATTTAACCCTTTTATCTGTTCATTGGTTACACACTAAGAGCAAACTGATTTACTTACACGGTAGCTTACTGGTCAACATTGGCAGGTTCAGACACGGTAATTTGGTCAGTAGTAGCATCATTAGATTAACTTATTTACTACTGAACATTCTGACATGAACTCTAAAATAAGCGAGTGGTCACGAAACACGCGCATCTCTCGAGCCTCGGGTTGCGCCATAATAAACAATCGGCATTATCTACTAAGTCAGAGAATTAAGGCCATAGATATCTCAGCCCATCACATTCACCCTCTGTCATCTAGTAGTTGTATTACCAAAACTGCAGCCCTCTTTTTCTGAGAAGAAATTACAGCCTTGTTCGCTGCTGCCCTCGCAGCCAAGCTTCCCCTGCTCCTGGAGAGCATCTCGTAACATTGCCCAAGACAGAATACTAATAGAATTCAGAGGAGTGGGGCTGAAACGAAACTACTATACGGACGACGTTTCCTTGGACGATTTGTGGACGACAGTAAATCAGCGGCTGGGCTACAATTTCTTCTATGCATGGACGGTTCTAACCATAGCGTCGTGCAAGCATCGGCTTGATTTTGTCGTGTGCATAGCAGCGCTGTGAAATTACTGAAAAGTGAAACCCAACAACAGCAAATTACTGAAAGGGATACGGTTTCTTGGCGCGAGCATATTCGCACGACCACGACCACGACCACTACTGGGTAGCTGCTGCAGCTGCCGGCCCGCAGAGATCTTGCCGGCAACGGCAAGCAAGGCTAGGCAATTGGGGCACTACAGCAGCACAGCACCCACCCACCCCCCTTGTGAGAAATTACCCCCAAACTAACCAAGGTCTGAAGCTCTGAACGACCTTGCTTGCGCGAGGCCGTTGATTAATTGATTATAAATATACATCGAAGAATCAGTTGCGCCGGGCAGCCGCGTGACTAACGTGTGGGCGGAAACTGCGATTTTCTTACTCGTATTGGTAGTTGTATATTCGTGATTCGTCTACGTGAGGTGGCAATTGTCAATCCATTTCCTCACGCAATATCTCACTGCTGGAATGTTTCAGGCCGTCAGGTCTGGTGCCGTGCGAAGACGGATGAACATCCTAGAAAGAACCGACGAACAAAAAGGAAGAAGCCACTAATTTTTGCAGAGGCAGAGGCAGAGGCAGAGGAAGCTAACGAAGAATCGAGGAACAGAGGGAGATTCTGGGCTGTAAATCGAATTGGTGTAAGACTTCGTGATAATTTTCAAGAAAGAAATGGCAGGAGCAAATTTCAAAATTAATTCCCAGGAGAGAGAGAGAGAGAGAGAGAGAGAGAGAAAGCATGAGGGGAGCCTTTGCCGAGATCTGGACTGAAATTTGGCGAAACCGGCAATACGGTTGTGGGAGAGAAGAGGGAATGGCTGAAGGACGGACAGGCTCCTTTCTTTGTAAAGGAACAATATCCTCTTCTTTTTTAAAACGAAGCGGTTCAAATCAGGATGGATTCAAGAGTTGAAGACGTTTGCTCAAAGGATTTGAAGCAGCAAGAAGGAGCAGAGCACCCCTACCTGACGACGGCCTCCTCCTGGACTTCCAGAAGATCCGCGGCGGGTCGGCCATGGACGGCTCCTCCATGCTCCCCGGCCGGCAGGTCACTGCAGCCCAAGACAAGAGCGCAAATATACATCAGCTACCGAAATCCTGCGTCAGTAAGGACGAAATGGTCAGGAGCTCAGCTCACCTCCGGTGGCTCCTCGGCTCGACTTCCTGCTGCCTGCCTGCCGGAGCTCCTCCCAATCTCTCGCTCTCTCTGCCTCGGTGCGGTTTGGTCGCGTGCGCCGCGTTATCTCGTGGTTTCTGGCTGTGCTTGTGCCGTGGCGTGGGCGGGCTGTTGGTGCCACTAGCAGAAAGAAAGGAAAAACGGTGGCCTTGGAAGCCACTCCCGTTTCCTTGGCGTCCTTGACGGTGGCTTTCAGCCGTGCCCGTGACGTGACGCGCTGGCTTTCTGGCACCGGTAGTAGCTGTCGCCCGGGCGACGGGACGGCTACTCACGGCGTTCACGCTTGACCGCCAGCAAGACAGAGAGGGGCGTTTTCGTTTTGGGCTACCCGCCCGCCAACAACCAGTAGCCGTGCCCGTGCGCGCTCCTCCCCTCCGGATCCTCTGTGGGCAGTGCAGGCAGGGCCTACTTACGCTGATGCCGATTTGGTTCACTTTTGTCCGTTTGGGTCAGCTGTAGATGTGGCGTTTTAAAAAATATATATATAAATGGCGTATGTCTTCATCAATGAATTTTTGGACAGTGTGTTCGACCGACCGATCCATTTGGTTCGCTCACCGTTTTTTCCGCCAAATTTCTATACGCGTTAATTAGGCAAACAAATAAAAATAAAACATTACACATAACTAAACAAACAAGTCACACGGTTTTACATCATAATAAATAAATGTCATGGTTCACAACCAAATGAATTGAAATTTGTGCGAACTACATTGAAAAATGAAAGAGCGGATACATTTATTGGTTGCTGCATGTTTTGAACTTGAAGTGAGTTGTCTAGTCACGCATTTTTTGGGTGAAATTGAATGAACTGTGCAAACGTTGCCGCTCTCGGGCTCAACGCCTTCACCCTGGAAATCTCCCCTTGGTCAAAGAGGTTGTCGTCACACTCATCGTCTACGGTCATGTTAAGCATGATCACACAAGCAGTCATTACCTCTCACATCTTTTGTTTGCTCCATGTTCTAGCAGGGTGTCGAACAATAGCCCATTGAGATTGAAGCATACCAAAAGCACGCTCCACATCCTTCCTAACTCTCTTGTTCTTTGGCAAACCCGACCCTCTTCTCTCCTACGGATTGGAGATTGTCTTGACAATCGTAGACCAGTGAAGATAGATAGCATCAGCTAAGTAGTATCCCTTGTTGTATTGATGACCATTGATCTCAAAGTTAACCGCTAGGGACTTGCCTTTCGAAAGACTTGTGAACACCAGAGAGCGTTGAAGTACATTGATGTCATTGTAAGAACCTGTCATGCTGAAAAAAGAGTGCCAAATCCAGATATCTTTTGATGTCACAACTTCAAGTATGACCGTGCAAGCTTTAACATGTCCCTTGTACCCCTACCAAGCAAATGAACAATTCTTTCACTTCCAATGCATACAATCTATGCTTCCAAGCATCCCCAGAAAAGCCTCTCGATTCATTGATTGCTAACAATCGGGTTGTATCCGTAGCATTTAGTTCTCTCAAGTATTCGGGCCAAACACTGCAACCACAGATTTGCAGAACTTGTACAATGATGCAAGGCATGTGGACTCACTCATGCGGACATACTCATCCACAATTTTATCGGGAATTCCATATGCAAGCATACCAACAGACGCAAATACATTTCTCATAAGAGGAGAAGCCAACATTTCCAAGGGCATCATACTTGCATTTCAAGCAATCATCATAGCTACCACTCCCTCCATAATACGGTTGAACATATGTCTCGTCATCCGAAAGCGTCACTGGAAAACCTTGGGAGGGAATAATGGGTCATTGTACTTTAAATAATCATGTAGAGTAGGCATTGGCCGCTCTCTCCGTTATGACTCAAATCCGAAGCATGGTTCGGGATCGATCCCTTAAACCTTGGTCGTTGCCTAGCAATGTGCTCATTGATAACCAAAGCAGGTATCACACCATCATCATCCTCGTCAAAATGATTCTTCGGACGATGATGAACATATGAAGTTGTTATAAAAAAATCATCATACCTGCCCACCATGATGAAATTGTGCCTCACTTGACGGAGGGATGTGCCTCGATTGCGTTGGACAAATAGCCGAATACCTTACGGGCGGTGGCGAGTCGCAACCGGTGAATGGACGGAGTTGGGTGGTGGCACAGAGGCCAAAAATGGGCGGCAGCGACGGCGAAGAGGGCGTGGTGCTTGTTGGGAGGGAGGATGGTCTGCCACATATGGGCAGGCCAAGGTAGGACGTCACACCGCGTGCCGCAAGGACACAAACCAAACCCAAATATGGGCCATAACTGTGGCCAAAAACGGACATCCATCCGTTTGTGTCGGCACGTTGGGCCGTGTTTTTTATCGCCTTACACCCAAACAGAATAGATCGACACGTTGAAGTTGGCTTTGTGCTTGGAGCCTGTGAAGGCGGGAGATGACGTCACGGATTTGTGAAACCAGGGGGAGGGAGCATTTTTGGGGGTGGGATATGAAAAGAAGCGTGCACGCTTTTGTGTTCCTTGAGACCCGTCCCAAAAGATGAAAAGCGAGAGGAGGCCTTTGGTTTTTCAGGAGGAGGGGAAAAAAGGCTCCTTGGCTTTTGGTTTAGCAAGCCATTTTACTTGGTTTTCAGGAGTAGCATTATGTTAGTACAAAACACAATTTACTGAGAACCAAAGAGGAGGAAGGTTACTACAGTACAAAACTTTGACTCTCTCCATGCATCCGGAATGTGTTTGGGGGTAAAAAGTTGTCACCGACCACCGGCATCTGTTTGCGTTGCCCAGTTTCGTCATCAATGAATGCTGCTGCACTGGCAAAGCGACGCTGACACACCGGCCGGCCAGCACCACCTCGCGTGCGATGCGTGAATGCCAAAGTCAGGGAATCCGAGTACGCTCCGCCTTTTCTCACTCGGCCCCACACCAGTACGCCTCAGCGTTACATGGGCATCTCACACAACTGGGCCACAAATAGACCTTGTGCATACAAGGCCTGGACTCCAGTGCCAGATTACAACATCAGTGCGCCCAGCACTTTTCTTACTCTCAAAGCCCAGACCATGATGCCAACCTTCCCACTTTTCTGCAATCGTCACCAAACCTCGGCCCAAGATTGAAAGAATCTGGCAAAAAGTCTGAAAATGAGTAAGACCCCTGCCTACCTCGGCAGTATTTTTTTTTCTGAACTACTTTTCTTTAGGTTTTTTTTTCTGAATTACTCGTACTAAAAAGATTATATAACAAAGAAGTTCTAAGCTACTCCAGAAATAGTACTGTACATCACATTCATGAAAACTTGCTGCTACTACCAAAGACATATTTTTTTTTCTTTTTGAGAACTTGCTCCAGAAGTTGATGCACACAAAAGATCAAACACATTTCCAACAAGTACTCGAAAATGCAGGTCAATATGTATATATATCTATGAAAAGGAAGCATCCATGGTGTCCGACGGTTTAACTGGCTGCCCATCAAAATCAAAAGCCTGCTAATGCTAATTACACCACCGAAAGCGAAAGGGCAAAAGGGGTAATTCGACTTTGATCTGAGCCAAGCAAGCCACCACATAATATTTCTACCAGCACAGAAGAGACAACAACACTCCATCTATATATGCATTCTAACAGAACCCTTCTTTTCAAGCCCCTACACCGCAGCTCAGCCACACAGATCGGTGCTACTGGCTGACGATCAGTGTGCTGTCTCGCAGTCGAGGCACGCAATACACTGCGCGGGCTCAGCGAGGCCGTAGACGTCCTCGATGCAGCTGCTGTGGAATGTATGGTGGCATCTAAGGACAGCGATGACAGGGGGAGCGGAGGCGTCGTGGGCGGCGCCCCCATGAGCCTCAAACGCAAGGTCGAGCTTGCAGAGCGCGCACCTTGTTCCCAGCGGCTCTGTCTCTGGTGCTTCATCATCCTCAAACAGAGCTGAGATTGCAACAAGGCAAGTACAGTCAGGTCACCAAACTATGGCTGCCTCGAATTGAGAATACAAAGAACAGTTCTAATTTAGGTGTGAATTCACTGAATTATACTGCCTGTAGCTATTTTAGTTCCAAAGTAGTAGAACTTTACCAGGACCCTTGATGTGAAGCTGCGCTTGCGAATTCACCAACTTATATTGCTGCAGAAGCTGCTCTTGCTGCTTGATTAACAGTGCCCTCCTGTAAGCAGCACTCGACACAGCATGGGAAGACTCATTTGCATTCCTGATTTCTAGCTTTGGTACCACCATTGGGCCAGTAGGACCAGCCGGGACGCTGGCCTGGCTTGTGGGCAGAGTTATCTTGCTAAGCTTCTGTTGAATATTGTTTTGTAATTGTTGTCTTGGCAATGTAACGACTGGAGCAACAAACTGATTGACCTGGGTTGCCCTGTTGCCAATAGCTTCTGTAATGACTGGGGCAACCGGCTGACTGGTCTGCCGTGTTCTTCTATTGCCAATAGCTTCTGTAATGACTGGAGTAACCAACTGATTAGCTTGCCTTTTTCCTCTGACAACAGCATCTGTAATGACTGGAGTAACCAACTGATCAGCCTGCCTTTTTCCTCTGACAACAGCATCTGTAACTGCTGGAGCAACCAACTGATTGACTTGACTTGTTCCACTGGAAATAGCTTCTGTGTTGGCTGCAGCAACTGACTGTTTGACTTGGCTAGTTCCACTGGCAATAGCTTCTGTAATGGCATCCGACTTCTTTGCAATCTCAAGTTGCAGCTGCTGTGCAGGCAAGGAATCAACACTGGCAGGATCCTTTCCAAGTTCAGTTCCTGGATTCCCCATAAGCAGCGGAGCAGCTAATTTAGCACCCTTGCTTCTGATAGTGCTTTTCCTTTTTGAAACTAGATTAGAAGAGCCCTTGCCACTCTGCAGCTTCTTTGGTGGAGATG